CCAGGCCCCCAGCCCCTTCCTCCCTCAGACCCAGGACTTCCTTCTCTCCAGGTCTCAGGAGTCAAGTCCAGCCCCTCCAATAACTGTTATGAATAACTTTGTGATTTGGTGGTGGACTGTTCTTCCTCCCACCCCAGTGGTCACCTCCAAGACAATAGGAGAATGGAGAAGGATTTAGGACCAGATTTTCTGGGTGGAAGTAGGGAGGAGATGTTAATCCAGGTTTTAGGTGCAAACCACCTCCCTCAACTGCTCACTGTTTCACTTACTTGGCTGTGTGGGCTTGAACCTGCCACTCTTCTCCCCAGCTAAGCGGAACAACCCCTATTTCCTGAGGTTATTACATTGTCTTACTTGAGTACTTGTTGTTGTTGTTGTTAAGTGCCGTCGAGTCGGTTCCGACCCATAGCGACCCTGTACAGGGTTTCCGAGGGTGTAAAATCTTTACGGGAGTAGAAAGCCTCATCTTTCTCCCGCGGAGCGGCTGGTAGTTTCGAACCGCTGGCCTTAAGGTTCGCAGCCCAATTCGTAACCACTACGCTACTTGAGTACTAATCATCATTTATCTTGAGATTGTTGCTGTGAATTACTATTGAGTTGATTCCCACTTATGGCGGCCCCACGCGTTAGAATTATTGCTGCTGTTAATGCTGTCGAGTGGGTTTGGATCCACGGCGAACCTGTATAGGGTTTCCGAGGCACGGCTGGTGAATTTGAACCACCAACCTTGTGGTTCAAACAGACCTTGGACGCCTGGTGTGGCACTGTAGGATCCGCACTGGACTGCAAACCACAACGTCGCCAGTTCTAAGCCATCAGCTGCTCCTCAGAAATGCTATACAGGGTCGGTATGGGTTAGAACGGATTCGACAGCACTTTATAACAACATCATCAATATATATATAGATGGAGTCCTGGTGTGGCACTGCAGGATAATGCGCTGGACCACAAGGTGGGTTTGAACCTCAAGGTGGGTGGTTCAAACCCACCAGCCGCTCCTCGGAAACCCTACACAGGGTCACTATGGATCAGAACTGACTCGACACTTAACAACAACAACCCAGTCCACTAGGTTAGGAGTCCTTGACCATCTCCCATAGGCGCCTGGGCAGGAGGATAAGAATTCATGAGTCTGTTCCATGTCTAGGAGCCATGGTGGCACAACATCCAAGCGCTTGGCAGCTTACTCCATCCAGCAGCAACTCTGGAGAAAAAACCTGGCTGTCTGCTTCAGTAAACATCACAGCCTAGAAAACCCTGTGGGGACAGTTCTGTTCTGTCACATGGGATCAACCATGAGTTGGGATCGACTTGACAGCACTTTGAGGCAGAAGCTGTTGAGATCATGCAATAGGAGCCGTTCTACCTTAAAAACACCTGTGCTTCCTTCTCCTCGCACCACCTTCCTGCCCACAAACAGTCTAGTTACACATGAAATCTGTGTGGTAAGAACCATAGGCCTTTTGTTCAAGGTGGTGTCTCCAGAGTCCATCTCAGCGCCCAGCACATAGCAGGGATCTGAGATGGGAGATGTGAAGACGTTTCAGCTCTGCCTCCTAAGGGAATTTCTACTCTGCTCTCTTCTTCCCACCTTGTTCTTACTGCAGCCCAGCCCTGGTCTCCTGGCCTCCACACCCTGATCAACAGCCACTCAACACACCTCAGTCACTTGTTCAGCGCCAGCTGCTCTGGGCTTCTTCCTGTTCTTTGAACGAGGTTCCAGCATCAAGGCCTTCGCATGTGCTGTTCCTTCTGCTGAAATGCTCTTCCCAGAATGTTGGCACAAGTCTCTCTCTCTCTCTCAGCATTTTGGTCTCATCTCTAAGAAACCTTTGCTGATCACACTAACCAAAGTAGCCTCTAATTCCCTTCCTATCATTCCGTGTCAGGTTTGTTTCTTTTTCTTCATAGCATTTAAGAAAGTTTTATTTGTTCGCTTGTTTACTTTTCTCCCATATCACAATTCTAGCATGTAAACTTTGATAGACAGTGCCTGACACATAGTAGGTGCTCAGTTAATGTGTGTCGCAGGGATGAGTGGGATGGCTTTTTAGTTCTACATGAACAGATACAAACCCTAAGATCCAGAGAAGGGGAGAGACTCACATGGTGCGTGAGTTTGTGATGTGCTGGAATTGCCTTGTAAAAGCCAACTGTTAAAATGTTTAAGAATCCTGCAAGCTGGATGTTAAACTGTTGGTAGCTTGAAAGTAACCACCTAAGAAGTCCTTTCACCATGACAATGAGCAAACAGGACAAATAAGGGTTGGGTTTTTTGTTTGTTTGTTTGTTTTTGTTTTTGTAGAATCAGCTTATAAATACACCATGGTACAAAACTCAGCTTGGCCCCCCAAGCCATTTAGTGACCCCCTGAAGTCAAGATTGTTCATATTTGGGCTGACGACCAGCGCTCCTTTTTCTGGAATGGCTCTGATCCCAGGTCTGATGAGAACATGACCATTTATTGCAGGCATCTTTCTAAGCACTTTAAAAAGCATCGTCTCCTTGAAGCACCGTGATATCCTTTGAGGTGGGTTTTACTTTTATTACATTTTCACAGATCAGTAAATAGAGATATAGAAAAGGAAAAGGAAAAAGAAAATGCTCAGAGCCATAAATATGGCAGAAACTATGAGACATACATATATCTGAAAATGAACAGAATATATAAAGAACTCCTATAAATCAACACAAAAGTTATAACTCAAGTTTTTAAATGGGCAAAAGACTTGGATAAGCACTTCACCAAAAAAAGTTATCCAATAATCGCATGGAAAAAAAAAAAAAGTCAACATCATTAATCATGAGGATGTCAAATAAAAAATTACCATCAGATATCTCTCCTCGCCTACCAGGACGCCTGAAAGGAAAAGGGCTGACCACAGCAGGTGTTAACAAGGTCGCGGAGCACCTAGAACACTCAGACGTTGCTGGTGGGAGCGCCAATCAGCACGACTGCTTGGGGAGACAGTTTGTCTGACAGGAATCTCTAAAGTTAAAGGTAAAACCTTTATCTTAAGGCCTAACGATTTTACTCCTAGAGTGAGAATTGAAGACATAGATTTACACAAAGATGTGCATATGAACATTCATTGCAACTTTATACATCATAGCTCCAACCTGAAAATAACAAAATGCTCATTCAACAACAGGTAAACAGATTAAGAAATTATGGCACATACATAGCAGGAATTTTGTTCAACAATACAATGAATGAATGATTGATATGTGCTATATAGCACGCTGACTCTCATGGCTATAATGGTGGTGGTGATGGTTATGTGCCGTGGAGTCGGTCCCCACTCAGCGAGCCTACACAGGGTTTCTGAGGCTGTAAATCTTTACAGGAGCAGAAAGCCTCATCTTTCTCTCACGGAACAGTTGGCAGTTTTGAACTGCTGACCTTGAGATTAGCAGCCCAACTCGTAACTGCTACGTCACCAGAGCTCCTTACAGATTTACTATGGGGTGAAAACTGCCAGGCACAAACAAAGAAAAGCTGCTGGTTCAGAACCAGGCAGAAATAACTTATGGTGATTGAAGTTGAGGGGAAGGAGAGGCATACAGGGTTAGCATGTTTTGCTGCTTGATCTGAGTGCTGGTTGCGTGGAAGGCTGTTCCTATTATATTATATCATATCGTATTATATTGTATCATATCGTATTATATTGTATCATATCGTATTATATTATATTATACGGTATCATATCGCATTATATTGTATCATATTGTATTATATTGTATCATATCATATTATATTGCATCATATCATATTATATTGTATCATATCGTATTATATTGTGCCATATCGCATTATATTGTATCATATCGTATCATATCATATTATATTGTATCATATCGTATTATATTGTGTCGTATTGTATTATACTGTATCATATCGTATTATATTGTATCATATCGTATCATACCGTATTATATTGTATCATATCGTATTATATCATATTATATCGTATTATATCATATTATAGTGTATCATATTGTATTATATTATATTGTATTATATTATATTATATCATATTTCAAATAGTAACCAAAAGGTTAGAAGTTTCAATCCACTCAGAGGCACTTTTGGAAAACTCTACCAGGGACCATGAGTTGGAAATGACTCAGTGGCAAATGGTTGGGGTTTTATTTCGTTTGTCTGTATATTCTATATAGGGGTTCTGTTGGTGCAGTGGTGTAAGCACTGGTCTGCTAACTGAAAGGTCAGTGGTTCAAACCCACCAGCCACTCTGTGGGAGACAGATGAGACTGTGCGCTCTCATAAAGATTTACAGTCTCTGGAACTCTGCAT